CACACACACACACACACACACACACACACACACACACACACACACACACACACACAGTCATGCACCAAATATAGGCCCTAAGGGAAGCTGATGTGATCCTAAAAGGATTTGAACATTTTTCATAACCAGCTTCAGCCTGTGCTTAGGTCCAAGTGTGTGTGTGTGTGTGTGTGTGTGTGTGTGTGTCAGTGGGAAGCGCATGCTAATTCCACCCATGTAAATGTTGACCTGAGCTGGGTGGGGTGTTTGTGTGGTGACGGGCTGCTGGGGAGGGGCGTCCACGGAAAGCTGCAGTAGAAAATAAAAGCTGCTGCTCCTGTCATCATCGGCTCTCTCTCGCTGTCCCTCTAACCCTCGGGGTGGGAGACGGAGGCCACAGACACACACACACACACACACACACACAGTTTGTGGAAATGGTGAACGAGGGGGTGAAGATATTTGTCTGCTGTGCCTCTCTGTTGGCACCAGGAACGTCAATAACTGAGTAAAAGTCAAAGAGGTTCAAGAGACACAAACAGGCTCCAAACAACACGTTAGATCCCTGGAGGCTCTGAATGAACACTGCACTAACATATATATCACATGTTAAATTAAGAAAGATCCATCAGTCATGTCTGTTCAAGATGAAGCTCCCGCGGTTAGCTTAGCTTAGCATAAAGACTGGAAACAGGGGGAAACTGCTAGCATGGCTCTGTCTGAAGCCAACAAAATAAAAGCTGAAGCTATCTTTTGTAAAAACATTTCAAGATTAAAAATTAACTATAATGATAAAAAAAACATTTAAGAAGCTGAAAAAAAGTCTAATAATTAATGAACAATAATTATGGTGAGCGTCGCCATGGAGACGGACACAAACACACACACAAAGGCCCTAACCTGATAGATAAATACTGCATACACACGCCAAACGCCTTCAGCTGATTTACTCTGGTTCACACACACACACACACACACACACACACACACACACACACACACACACACACACACACACACATATACATACATACATA